GGGGCGGGGCTTCCCGCAGGTCTCAGGTGGCCCGTCCACGCCTCTGGCCCTGCGGACAGGAGTGCGGGACCGGAGAATGTTGCACACATTCCCTGAGAGCCGGGTTTGGTGGCGCACGCCTGTAATCCGAGCCCTCGGGAGGCTGAGGCAGGAGGATCTCAGGGAATTCAAGGCCAGCCTGTGCTCCACAGTGAGTTAAAGGCCGGGCCGGACCATAGTGGGCTACACAGTGAGACCTTGCCTCAAAAAATCAACCAACAAATAAAGCGAATACGGGTTGAAATGTTTCCAAAATAGGCTACAAATACAAAACACAAATAAACATAGAGGTACAGGAAAAAAACCTCTCCATCTCCCTGGAAGTTGGAGAGCTCGCAGCTTCAAGGACCCTGGTTTTTTCCTCCCTCCCCCGCAGTGAAACACACAAGAAGGAAAACGTTTGAAAATGAAGAAATCAAGGTTTCTAACAAGAGGGCAAGGATGCGCACAGACCTCACTGTCCCTGAGGAGGGCGACGCTGAGGTGACATAGCCGTGGGATCTGGTAAACACCGCACGCAGGCCCCCCGGGGGAGTCAGCCTGCAAGCGCCAGCAGTGAAGATGTGATGGGTGGGGCGAGGGTCACAGCCACTACCCAGCATGTGCAGCTTACCCAGGAGGCCCTGCAATCGCTCCTGGCACCTTCAGAATATGACTTTTCAGAAAGCTGTTAGGGGGGCCAGGGACGTAGCTCAGTGGTGCCGCATCTGCCTAGCAAGCACAAGGTCCTGAGTTCGATCACCAGTACCAGAAAAAGAAAGAAAGAAAGCTGTTAGGGAAAATAAGATTTTAAAATAATTATAAACTGGATGTGGTGGGGCACACCGATGATCCTAGTACTCTGGGAGGCTGAGGCAGGAGGATTGCTGTGTGCTTGAGGCTAGCATGGACTACATAATGAGACTGTCTCAAAAACAAAACAAAACAAAACCCCCAAAAATTGAAAAAAAATTCCTGCCCTGCCCTGGCAATTTAGTGATTTAGCAAGACCCAGTATCAAAAAGGAAAAGAAAAGGGGTGTATCACTGGGGATTTAGCTGCATGTGAAGGCCTCAGATTCAAAACCCAGTCCCAGCACCGGGCTGGGGTGGTGGCGATGATATTTTTAACATCTCTTCTGAACAGCATACCTTGGTTTGGTGAAACTGGTTTTATGAAAGAAATAAAAATTGACCAGCACCACACAAATCCATCTTAGGGTTGAACTTTTTGACCTCTAAAGGTGACCGAGAGGTCTGTGGTTTGTTGGGACGTCTACTCCAAGAACTTTGTGTGGCATATTTCACCAAAAAGTTCAACACTTTCATAGTCTATTGCAACAAAAGACTTTGCATGAGTAGGCAGTAAAACATTTAAACCATTTTCTAAGTTAAAATGTGTACCAAGCTGGGCATGCTGGCACACGCCTGTGATCCCAGCACTCAGAGGAGGCTGAGGCGGGAGGATGGCTGCAGAGTGGGACCTTGTCTTAAAAAAATGAAAAGGTCTGGGAATGCAGCCTGGGTTCCCAGCATGCAAAAAAAAAAAAAAATGCTCTTGTCAACATGAAACAGGTCTAGGAGGGTCAGTGCCAGCTGTCCTGTGTCATCCCAGGAGCTCACTGTGTCCTTGACCCCTCGTACGGGCAGAGGTGGTTCTGTGAATGTGACCACTCCTTTGGTTCTGTGGTCTGTAGGGAACCTTCCTCCCATCCTGGGAGCTGGACACAGGGCTCCTCCCCTCTCTGCCCCCCACTGGGGTTGGCACGGGCTCTGCACATGGACTCACCAGCTCCCTGAGACTTAATCACAGTAGAAAGTCTAGTGGAAACTGAGAGATCTGAAAACCTCTCCCAGTGCCCTTACATAAACATGTATTGCTCCTATTTAGGAGGCTGAGGCAGGAGGGTCCCAAAGCCCAGCCTGGGCAACTTAGTGAGATTCAATCCCAAAATTTAAGAGACAGGGTGGAACTCAGCACTAGAACTCTTCCCTAACACGAGTGAGGACTTGGGTTCCACCCACAAAGACAAAGAGGAGAAAGATCTACTGGTCTGCCTCAAGCACTGGGAGCCCTGACCCACAGTTTGGCACCACTCACTTGTGGGATGTCATGATAACCGCTCAGCGAGATAGGCAGGAGCAGGCAGACAGGGCGAGGCCCGCAGAGACTCGGTGCTAGACGAGAATGCATCAAAACCCTGGCTGGAGGTGCATGTGAAGGAGGCGAGGCCTCAAGATGAAAGCGGCCATGGGCAGTGTCCATAACTCGCGAAGGGTGAAGGGAAACCTGCGACTCTGCCGTACTTGGTTCCGCCTTCCGGGATTTCCCAAAGAGCCTGACCTTCACCTCACCGGTGCTCACCTTTGGACCAACGTTAGCTCAGCAGCTAGACCTGGAATCTTGTCACCTGATTATGGTTTGACCCACACTGTACCCACCTCATGATTTTGCTCTATGAAGCTTTCTCGGACAGATAACCTTACTGGGACCCCACTCGGGACCCCTCCTGTCCCTCAGAAGCCCATCCAGTTCCCCAGTAAATCTTTCCTACTTCCCCCACCTTTGCCCTTTGGAATTCACTCTTTGATTTCAGGACACACAAACTTGGCACATCTGGCATCTAGCAGGTTGGGAGTTTTATCTACCCTATATCGACATGAACATTTCCAAGGTCCCCATTATTGCTTGAAGCTTAGTTTTTGTTTTGTTTTTGGAGACAGGGTCTCAAAATGTAGCCCAGGCTGGCCTTGAACTCTCTGGGATCCCTCTGCCTCCGCCTCCTGAAATGGAATGATAAGCCACCATCTGTAGCCTGAACAGAGTGAGACCCTGTATAAAAAAAAAAAAAAAGAAAAGAAAAGAAAACTAGCCCAGGCTGGCCTTGAACTCTCTGGGATCCCTCTGCCTCCGCCTCCTGAAATGGAATGATAAGCCACCATCTGTAGCCTGAACAGAGTGAGACCCTGTATAAAAAAAAAAAAAAGAAAAGAAAAGAAAACGGCATGGTGGTGCACACCTGTAATCCCAGCACTCGGGAGGCTGAGGCAGGAGGATCGCTGTGAGTTCGAGACCAGCCTGGGCTACACAGTGAGTTCCAGGTCAGTCTCAACTACACAGTGAGACCCTGTCTCAAGAAAAAAACAAAACAAAACAACAACAAAACCACACACACACAAAAGAAATAAATATACGCGGCCATTAGTTAGCTGAGGCTGGTGGTTCTCAGCCAGAAACAAAGTCAAGAGGGGGCTGAGGAGGTGCTGGGGAGCAGCTGCAGTTTTAGGTTAAATGGCTGCAGGAGAGAAGCCTGACATAGCATGCACAGGTTCAAGTTCACTATGACCAATGTGATCATTTTGCATATAAATCTAAACCCTACAATAAAATAAATGAGTAACTATTTCGGCTTTTTTTTTTGGTATCGGGGATCGAAATCAGGTCCTTGTGCTTGCAAGGCAGGTGGCAGAACCACTGAGCTAAGTCCCCGGCACTATTTCTGGTTTTAGAAAAAATGGCTGGGACCAGGCATTTGGCACAGTGCTTCTGCTCCCTGCCTTGCAAGTGCAAGGGCCCGAGTTGGATCCCCAGTGCCACCAAAAAAAAAAAAAAAAAAAAAAAAAAAAAGGAAAAAAATGGCCAGAGGTGACGTCTACATAGCAACCAGACCAGCAGGAAGCGAGGAGGCTCCCTAGCAAACTATGGGCTCAGAAGACAAAGCCAGCGGAGGTTGTGGGGGAATTATTCTCTTGGTTGCGGGCAACACCTCCAACTGCAACTGGTTTCTTCCTGTTTTTGTGTGTGTGTGTGTGTGTGTGTGTGTGTATTTTATGACAAGGTCTCACAGTGTGGCCCAGGATACCCTTGAATTTGCAGCATCTCCTGCCTCAGCCTCCTGAGTGCCGGGATCACAGGTGTGCACACCTCATCTGGTTTGAGTAGCTGTATTTTTATTTTTTTGGTTTTTTAGAGACAGGGTCTCACTATGGTAGTTGAGACTGACCTGGAACTCACAAAGTAGTCCAGGCTGGTCTCGAACTCACAGCCATCCTCCTGCCTCAGCCTCCTGAGTGCTGGGATTATAGGCGTGAGCCACCACGCTGGCCTGAGTAGCCATATTTTTAAAAAGCGCTTACCTAGCATGGTCAGGAGGCCCTGAGCTCTGTGCACCCTGCCCCTCACCCACTTCCTACCCTGTGCCTGTGGGGCGTGGAGTCCAAGCACCGAATACCCCGAGGGCCGAGGGCCACAGGGCCTGCTCCTAGGTTCCTGTGCGTGTGGGCACCTGGGGTTGCAAAAGGGCCGAGGGCACTTTCCAGAGCACAGGGCCCAGAACTACAGGGCCGTTCTTTTCCCTATTCTGTTTCTGTACAGGGGATTGAAAAGAGGGCCTCTACATCCTGAGCTACATCCCAGACACTTTTAAAACTTTTTATTTGGATACAGGGTTGCACACAGTCACTAATTGCCCAGGCTGGGCTCGGAGTTGCAATCCTCCTGTCTCAGCCTCCTGAAGTGCAGGCATGAGCCACCATCCCGGGCTTGTAAGGAACTTGAAGGAGATGATTGTCCAATCCTTCAAGTTCTCAGACAGTATCCACACAAAGCACGGGGTAGTCAACCTTCCGCGTCTAACAGTAAGCTCTCTGCCCTTAGACAGAGCTGTCTGTCATGGGCACAGGGGCAGAGGAGGGGACGGGCAGCAACCCTGGCCCTGTCCTGTAACGTCTGTGTGCCTTGCAGTGGACGACTTGCCCTCCCGGAACTTCAGTCTCCTTGGAGGTGACACCCCCCGCTGGCCTACGGGGATGTTGGGGTGGCTGCAGTCCCACCGGGTGGGGGTGGGGAACTGCCTCTAGCCACCGGGAGGCTGAGGCAGGAGGATCACAAGTTCAAGACCAGCATAGAGGATAGGCATTAACTCTTTCCTCACAATTTAGTTATCTCGAGTTAGGAAACCCAGCCTCAGATTAGATTTTGCTAAACATACTGATATTTATTCCCAGGAGAGTGCAGGGAAGCTTGCCTGTCTGTCATCCCAGCTATTCTGGAGGCTGAGGCAGGAGAATCACCAGGTTCAAGGCTAGGGTAGGCAATTCAACCAGAGTCCCTCACAATAAAATAAAGAGTGGGGATGTAGCTCAGGGGCAGAGTGCCCTGGTTTTGATCCTGTTACTTCCTCTTCCATCTCAGCAAGCAGGTGTGAAGATGTACAATACCTACCATGCTGTGGGTCCGATGCAGTCTCCAGCCCTGTCCCCAGGCAGACATGCATCCTACAGAAGGATTTCATTCCTGGCCTTCTCTGGACCAGCAAGTCTTTGAGAGACAGCTGGATGGGTCAGAGACCACACGGGAGCAGTCACGTGACACCAGCACCACCAAATGGCCTGCAGAGTCTGGTGCCAGGCCTGAGTAGAGAGGGATTTCTGATACCTCCCCATACTTATAGGCAACATTTAGTTATGGTTTGGAATTATGTTGTGTGTGTGTGTGTGTGTGTTTGGTTTGTTTATTTGTTGGTTTTTTGAGAAAAAGCCTTGCTATGTGTCCCAGGCTGGCCTTGAACCCACGATCCCAGTGCTGGGGTTACAGGTGGATGCACCACACCCAGTGTCTGTTCCCCAGCCTCAGAGATTCCGGGAACTAAGCTGACAATGCAGTCAGGAAGACTGCGCCCAAGTCCAAGAGAGGGTGCCAGGGAGGACCAGGCCTTGCAGCCACCTGCCAGGTTGGCGCCTCAGCCCTGGCAGCAGGAGGTCCTCCAACCGCCCCCCCTTGTATTACCATAATAGACACGTTTGAAACTATCTGGTCATTGTTTTGAGACAGGATCTCGTTATGTAAGTCAGGCTGTCCCTGAACTATGTAGCCCAGACTGGTTTTGAGCGCGCAATGCGATCCTGCTGCCTCAGCCTCCCGAGAGTGCTGCTCCATGCCCGGATTTTAAAAGACCTGGTGCGGATGTGGAGCTGGCTGGGCTCCAAGGAGGAAAGCGGGCGAGGAGGGGTTCCTCCCTGTTCCAGGTGGGCTAGGCTGCGGACTCCCAAGCGGGACCCGGGCATTGGCGCTGCCTTGCACTCGTTCGGTTTCTGAGTCGCCAGAGCGGGGAAGCAACCAAGCCTAGGTAGAGGCTGCGAAACTCCCTCCGTCCGGGGACCGAACCGGTGCGCCCCCTGGTGGCAGCAGCGAGAAATGGCCGCGCCGGGGTTACCTACCTCAAGACTTTTGAGGTTTGAAAGATTGATGATTGTTTGGGTTTTGTTTTGTTTTGGGGACAGGGTATCGCTAAATTTCTCAGTCTGTCTCGAAATTGCCATCCTCCTGCCTCAGCCTCCACAGTTCTGGGATTACAGGCGCGCCACCCCCGGCACGAGGGGTCTTCAGAGGGCACCTGTGGTAACGCTAGCACTTTAGGCCGGGCGGGCATCCCCCCGGGAGGCGACGCTCCGTTCCGACGGTGACTGAGGACAGAGCGTGCGCGAGCCCGCCAGGAAAGGCTCTGTGGGTCGGAGCGAGTCGGGCAGGGCCTAAGGAGCGCGTCCTGTGGCCGGGCGCCCCCTTCCGCCCTATCGCCTTGGCTGCGCCCTCGTCGCCGGTGGAGCCGGTGTCACCCTGGGCCCGGCCCAGCCTCCTGCTGGCCAGTCGAGGACACACCAGACAGAACCACACCTTCGACGGAGCTGGGAGCCTCGGAGCACGCCTGTAAGCCCAGCTCTCAGGAGGCCGTGGCAGAAAGATCGCTGAGCTTGAGGCCAGCATGAATTACACAGAGACCCTGTCTCAAAGGCAATCTGGGAAATCCCTACCACATTTGTCATTGTCGTGGCTGGGCCGGTTTATATTGTGTGGCTTGCTCTCCACACTAAAGGTCATTTGTTCCTTCCTTCTGTGTCAGGTAGTTTTTTCGCTGAACTCCAGACATCGTGAAATTCTTGTTTCCCGGTGCTGGATTTCCTAGTGCTCCTGTTAAAGAGCTTTGGGGGATCTGTGGTGGGCGATTCATTTACTTGCAGTCTCCCTAACTCCGCACTTGGGGGCTGAATCAGGGGCCTTCACGTGAAGCTACATCCCCAATCCTTTTATTTATCTTTTGTTTTGAGACAAGGTCTCATTAGTTCCCTAATTTGCCTAGATTGAACTCCAGCTTTCGATCCTCCTGCCTCAGCCTCCCATGTGATTTAATGGGGTGTATTTCCTTTTCGGTTTCCCACACAGTTTAATGGATTATAATCTGCTACAATTGTTTTGATGCTCAGACTGCCCCACATTTGGCTACTGGAAACCCCTTGC